CTGCACCTGCATATGCTCTCCCAGGAGCTTCCTCTTAATCATCTGTCTTTTCTTTCTGTCCTCCTCGTCCGCCTGTTCCGATCCGTCTTTCACTTCTACTTCCGCTGCCTCTTCCTCTTCCTCTTCCTCTTCGTCTGCCTCTCCTCCTCCTCCTCCTCTTCCTCCTCCTCCTCCTCCTCCGCCGCCTCACATCCAGATTTTCCCTGTATTTCCCATCCTGCGACTGCCTGTCATCGGACCCCGATCCACGTTACCTGAACAACACACACAGCCATTTCCTCCAGGCAATCCGAGCTTCCCCCCCCCCCACCCGCACGAATGCGCCACTAAACTCGAGTCGCAATCCCTCCCTCCCTGTTCCCTCTCCGCTGCTCGACCTCGACCTTCACACCCTTTTGGCGACGGCAGCTCTCGAGAGTGCGGCTTTGCCTGTTCCCATACAACTTGATCATGGGCCGCGCATACCCTGTGTGAAATACAAACCACCTGAACACACCAAAGCCTCGGTGGGAGAAACAAGGCTGTACGATTGGGACCTGACTTACTTTCCTTTCACAATATTGGCAATTCGGCGAATACTTAGACGGTCTTCCAATTGAAAGCAATACATTGGATGACAGCCGCAACGGCGGGTACATTAGAACTGGGTGCGATTATATACGGTAGTTGCGATTGTGGGGGCTTGTGGTGAGTCGGCCCGGCCCCTCCGGTTCACAAGCGTATATTTGGCAGCGGCATAGCTAACTTTGGAACAATAGATACCACTTCCTAATCCTTTTTTTTCTTTCCTTCGAATAATACAGTTTCGGTCACTAATTTCATGGTGGTGAGTGCTGCTTCTCAGCCTTCAGTCAACCCTATCCCCTCAATGCATCTCACTGGCAGACAACATTACGCGTTATACGGTGCTGGCGAAGCCTCAGTGTTCCCCAGACTTTGACTTCCGCTTTCAGGAACACTGGGAATCGGACCTGAACTTGTTTCTGCAATGATCGGCATCGGAAAGTAACGAAGTTTTGATCGTTCCAGCTTTCCCAGGCACATTACCGCAAGCATCGTAGGGGAACACAACAAGCGTGCTACGAGCTGAAGCACGTTGACGGACAATAGGGATGGACCATTGCGGAAGGGGTAGATCAGTGTCTATTCTCGCCCAGCAAGGCAGACACCTCTGTTGGCTTCTCCCACACAGTCAAAAGAGATGACCTCCAGACAGGACTACCTCTGTTTTGGGCGATCGGGCGCAATGCTCTTCCATTTTGATGTCGTGAGGGCGAGCCGCCAACGTCGAATACTTCTTAAGCGAGCTCCCATGGTCTCGCGTTCGGGCGCTAGCCCGAGGCAACCATCAGCTTCGGGACATCCAAGCTCATTCACTGACTGTGTTACTTCTCTTTAGACTTCTCTATACCCCGCCACTGAAGCCTTCATAAGACCTGCAGAAGTGTGCGCGCTCAAGTACATCCAACCTCTATCCGCGTCCTGCACCATCGACAACAGTCACCTCCTCCCGGCTCGCCCTTGAGTTTGTAATCTTTTCAGAGACTCTGGAGAGAGGTCAGATTTCCCACGACCGTCTTTCTCACTGCGAAGCCTACTGCGGTACGTGTCCTTGACTCGCTTGCACCTCGCATTTCTCCACTATCATCGATGAAAGAACCTAGGCACACACCCCTTCCTGACGAGCATGCCATTCTTGGCCGTTGTCGGGGAACGGAGGGCTGTCGAGGAAACCCTCAAGTTGAGGTTGGGCTCAGCAATGAGCAATGAGCATCCTCCTGCGCTCCGCAGGCTGTATCGGTAGATTTGTACACTGGCATCAGTATCGTGGAGATGTGCAAGTACCTCTGCTCTTCGGGTTCGATCGAATCCGGCAGCCGAAACTTCAAGGTTCCTGCCATGAAGCGCCCCTTCCCTCTCTCGAGTTAATTTGAGTTCTCCGCTAGAGACCCTAGAAAGAGGGTTCAAGTTCTCACAAAGAGCCACGAAGTCTCAGCGATTGGTTAGTTGCCAAACCTCCTGATTGACTTGCTCTTGTTTGGTGTGCCGGCGGCCATTCGTACTCCCAGCGAGCCACGTCGCATCCTCCTGTCGAGTCTCCTACCCACGCATTCATTCACCTTTCCGAGCTGACAGTCCTCAGATCAATCCGACCTCATCTTTTCCACCTCCGTCTCTGCCTCACAAAGCAAACTTTGGCCGTTCCATAACACCATGATGGCTTCCAGTGCGGTCAAGACGGGAGCTCCCAGCGGGAGTGGAAAGGGCCCTCAATCGAACCCTTCCCCCATGACCTCGAGTAACCCCTCCATCCTCCTTGAAAAGTTCAACGGCAGGCGCTCGACTCCTGATTCAGAAGCGCTTGTAAGCTCTGACGAGGAGGCTGAGCGCCAAGAACATATACAGCCCCCTCAACCTCAGAAGCCGACACGGAGAGCCTCGTGGTTGAATGACACAACGATATCAACTGGTTCTCAAACTCGCAAGGCGTCTTTCGCATCCAGCTCCATGTCTCCAACAGCATCGCACCCAAGCACGCCCTCCGCGGAATCTGGCACGTGGGGCACGCACGTTCAAGGGAGCACCGGGAGTGGTCGAGGACATCCGGCTCCCAGCGCTTTTCCTTGGGGCAGTGGTATATGGAATGTCGACGCTCGAAAGGAGCCACCTTCACGGTTGACAGAAGTCCTGCCTTCGCCCACCTCAACAGGTCCTCCTGGCAACGCTTACTTCGGTGATCTCAGTAACACCTATAGAGACGCGCCATCCAATCCCAATATTCCTTTCGCCATTCCACTTCACCCAACGCCCAAGACCTACAGGTCGCAATCGTACTCTGTTGGTCAGCTCGATCTTGACTCTCCTGGTTCAAGTACGGCCCCGGGAGCAACTCAGATGTTCGCAGGTCGTGGCAGACCAATGCAACACTCCAGGCTACAGCACAGACCATCAAGACCGAGTATGTTGAGCGAGATGTCCAATGAAGGGGGCCTGAGCAATCTGAAAGAGGTCGACGATGATGACGAGAGCCCGAATGGATCAAACCATGGCATCACATTGCAACAGTCGAACGAAGCAAAGACAATTGAGCTCCTAGCACGTGAAAATGCTATGCTACGCCAGCAGCACTACCAGTCTCGGCTTCGAACCCGATCTTCCACAAGCAACGCTTATGGATTAGCAGGCTATGCTCTTCAAGAAACTCTACCCGAAGAGTCGGACTACGCGATTGACGAGCTGGAAGAGTTGCAGCAAGACATGCAGTCGAAGGCGATGCTAGGCCGCAGAATGAGCGAATACGGAGGTGCTGGTCAATCTCGGATTTCGCCGTCTTATGCCTCACTTGAAAATCGCAAGTTGGAGAACGTCAAGAAGGCCTATTGGCAGAGCTCCCCGGGATTCATCGGACTCTCGGATATTTCACAAAGTCGTCGACACTCCTTTGCAGATGTCCTGTTACGACAAGGCTCACTCAGTTCGATTGGCGAACCTCTCTCCGCACGTGAGACTTTGCAGGAGAACATCTCGCCAAAGGACTACCAGAACAGGTATCAGGATAACTCCGGTTACGCCTTCAACGATCACGGTATGTCACATCGAGCACGTCGCTCATCGCATCTCAGTCAGTCCGAGAAGCAGCGACTGGAAGACGACTTTGACGCCCATCTCAACAAATCCCTTGGTCTTCCCAACTCACAAAAAACAGCTGCCTCATACTTTGGTGGGCCCGCTGCTCTCCCACGGAACATGGATGCGTATGGCGTCCCTGCACACCAAACCCCGGGTCATGCGTACACTAACGCCACTGTTCAATACGGTGGGCGAGCACCTTCGCCACATCGAAATATGTACGGCGTACCACAGCCGCGACAGAACCAACTCCTCTACATTGTCCTGTTCAAGTGCTCGCGAGCTGATGTCTTCTACGTGCAAGAGGGAACGGGTCTGGCAGTCAAGCCAGGAGACTTGGTCATTGTAGAGGCCGACCGCGGAACCGATCTTGGAACCGTCGCCCGCGATAATGTCGACTGGTCCTCTGCGAAAGATCTCAAGGAGCACTACGCCGAAGAGCATTACAAGTGGCTGATGATGTACTCCCAGGGTGCTGCTGGTAACTCGGATGGCACTGGTGGCGGACTGATGGCGGCGTCCAATGGTCTGCAAGGGAGTGCCGTCGGCGGCATGGGACCTCCAAACCAGCACGGAATGCAAGAGCCAACGAACGGTGAGATCAAGCCAAAAATCATCAAGCGGCTTGCTCAGCAGCACGAGATTCAAGCCTTGCGTGACAAAGAAGGCAACGAGGCCAAGGCCAAGAGGGTGTGCATGCAGAAAGTCAAAGAACACGGACTTCATATGGAGATTCTTGACGCAGAGTTTCAGATGTCAGTATCAATGCTTCCGATCGCAAATTGACTCGTCACTTACCTGCCCTAGGGATTGGAAGAAGCTGACCTTTTACTACTTTGCCGACGCGTACATCAACTTCAATTCTCTAGTCACCGACTTGTTCAAAGTCTACAAGACGCGAATTTGGATGTCTGCCATCAACCCGGCCTCATTTGCCAGTCCATCTCTTGGTCTCCAAGCACCTAGTGGAATTGGCCCTGGTGCCATTGGTGCCACTCGTACTCAAACCGAAAGACGGCCCCAGCCTGCTGAGCAGCCATCATATCCTCAGGTTTCTCGTGGCCTCCAGGCCGCTTTTGCACAGCCATTCGTTCCCGCTCTTGACAGGGTCTCCATGCCGCCGAATGCCTTTCAGCCGTCAGGCTATACCTATGGATACTCCCCATCGTCCTTCAATGTGGCTCCCCGTGCACCCTTTGCCTCCCTCGACCAATACGGAGGCTTCTCTGCCCAGGTCGGCTACCAAGCAATACCCCCACGATTTTCGTCTTCTAATGACGCTGCTCCAACTCACGAATCTGGCGAGTATGGTCGACACAACGGTGGCATACCAACTCCAAACGATAATTGGGTCAACTCGTTCCAAGGTCTTTCCATGAACAATCGCTAATTCATTTCCACACGACGCATGAAACGTTGAGACGAGCTACGAATCATCTGTCGATTCTTCATGCGTCCCGTGGTATTCTCTACTTTCATTTTCGACGAATCTCTCTAGACCTGCACAGCTGTCAAAAGCTTCTCAGAAAAACCATTTGCATAGAATAGATCTTCTCAACCTGTGCTCGCAGGAATCCAACATTTATCATCTTCTCGCAGCTCGTTTCTTGGAGATGGCCTCTTTCCTGTTTTGCGCTTGCGGCGTTACGACTTGGATCAATATTCGGCCCTGGTCCAGAGCTGCCAAGTCTACCTTCACTTCACTGTTACTTTTTTCCCCGGATCTCTTTACATATATCAGCAAACGGCGTCCAACATCTAATAGACAATACTGTAAGATGGGTTTTAATTCTGACGCTCGGACTCTTAAGACTTTGACTGGGACACTTTGCTCGCCATTCCAAATGGCTTGCACACTATTTTTTTCAACGAATTTTACGAAAAGAGGGTTCTTGCGTGTGGAGGGATCGAGAGTTTAGACAGATTTCGCAAAACCTATCTTGAATCGGACGGCACCGGGCTCTAGGGACCCGGAGTAGGGTATCAAAAGAGACGTGGGAGGATCGATGATCTCGTCTCAGAGCGGCTTTTTCCTCTTTGATTCTGCGGGTTTTTAAAGGGGTCAGTACTTAAAGTAGCTGGCAGTTGCAGAATGAAGATACTTGCGTCAAGCCGCTTCCTGTCCGTTGGGATGTATATGAATGATGGTCGGGATAATACATCTAACTACCTTGCTTCAAAGTCCTGTACACACAGAGTGGATATTGTAAGTCCACGGTCGACTTCGTAAACTGTACATTTTTGACAACCAAGCGTTAGCCAGCCCCGATCGTAGCGAGTGGCCCTATGAACAACAGAAATGGGCAATCACAGATACAACGTGATGAGGAAATCCAAAAACACGGACCGATCCACAAGCCCATTCGTGAGACCTCATTCAGACCTTCATGATGGGTAAACTATTCGTTCCCTATGCATCGGAGACCCCGTTAGCTGTGAGGATCGTGATTTAAGCAATTTACGAGCCTGTCCTTTCGATGGATCTTGCCATGGCACGCGCGAGCGCAAGTAATAAGGTATGCCGCGAAGCGATGTCCTTCAACCTTCAACCCACCTCACCCAATCCTCCCCACCACGACCACATCCACGACGACAACAACCCCGAGGACCACGCCGACCACGACAACGGCAACACATCACCCCCTACGCGTCGCCTCTATCCTCTATGGCTGGAAAGGGAGGAAAGCGCAAGTCGGAGAGTGAGTCGTCTCTCTTCTTCCCCGGCCCCCATCATGTTCCTTTGCCTTGCTGCGTCGCGGAAGAACTGACGTTTGACAGGCGCGCTCCCAGCTGGCAAGAGCAAGCAGCGCAAGACTTTGAGAGGCGATGACTCGGGCTCAGAACACGCCGAGGCCGAATCTGATGACCAGCTCTTCGTCCAGCAAGAGCCGGACGCTCCCAAGCCCGTCACGAAGGGTGGGGCCACGACGCGCATGTCGGAGCCATTGAAGCGATCAGCGCGGGTGGCTGCGTATGTGGAGGATGAGGGGAGGATGGATGGCCAGTACGTGTTCCCGAGCTTCCAACCCAGCCATATGATGCCGCTCGGCGGGCGCTGGGGGGAATGGTCGCTCACTGACTCTCCTCGCAGGCAATTCCTCGCGCTGGTCGAGTTCGAAAGCAAGAAGAAGAGACGCGCAGCCCAAGCCACCAGCAAATACATGGAGAGGCTCGAGGACAACATTGGCCTCTCCGAAGACCATCTGAGGAAGCTCCTCCGCCACCTCAGTGCTGATGCGTAAGTCACCACTCGAACAAGCTTGTGGTCGCCGATGATACTAACCCAGAGTAGGACCAAGAAAGACACGGACTTTATAGAGGCCTTCAAAGACGCGTATGCGGCCTCACGTCCTCTGCCGCCATCCCAAAATACTGCCGGGAATTCGTCTGGAGAATCCTCGTTCGCCACGCTGTACGGCCGGGGCAAAGAAATTCTCAGAACCACGCAGCTGAACATTCAGAAGTTCGAGACCCTTGGTGCGAAGACGGCCCGTATTGATACCTCGGGCTTGATGGACAACGATTGGCTGGCCGACGACGAGCAGACGGCTGGGATACTAGAGACTGGTCGCAAGTATGGGCTGGAGAAGTATGCGGCGATGCTGAGGGGGTCCGAGGATCCAGTTGTCGAGGAGGAAGCTGCCGTCTATGTCGGCATGATCTACAGGGACCTCGAGGCAGATGCGTCGCGGTCATGGGGAAGGATTGCTAAGAAGCAGGAGAAGTCGGCGCGAAGACTCTACAAGGCTATCGCCGCGGAGGATGCGCTTTGATTGGCGTGTGTATGGGAGCAGAGGGTAACAGAACTACGGATAGAGGCTCGCTATGTTTTGCTGGAGCCAGGCCTGGGGCTATCTATCACCTGAGCTTACGAGAGGACACCAGGACACGTGGTGATCTAATGAACATTCGTTTGCTACTACGAGCCGCTCGTCTTCGCCGGTGTATACGGAGGTCGTGGTCGCTGGCAAGGACAGCGCAGGAGGGCAACGACAGATACAAGGGACGTCTACTAATCCAGCGAAGCCTACTACATGCCCTATCTTGGTATATATACAAATACATACATCCATACATACAACTAATACCTCAGCAACCCCCTCTCTCAACAATTTCAGCAAGTTCAGCAACACCATTTCAGTACGTTTTCC